AAAAAAAATGGCCATTTACCTACAGGTATAAATAAACTAACCCTAACTATTACCCTGACACTAAAATCACATTTGAGTCTCAAAAATGCTCATGAGGACAGCCACTTTAGTCCTCACGAGTGAGCAGTATAATAACGTTCCTAATTCTTTTCCCCGCAAAGATGTCTAAACACACACACACACACACACACACACACTCTGCTCCTCACACTGACTTTGTCCCCTGATTCCCTGAACTAAAGGCAAAGTTCTCCCGCTGATTTCTTGTTCCAGAGTCACAGACATGCGGCAATAATTATGACGTTGCAGCAACAACACACCCATCATAATGCTAGCAAAAAAAAAAAGACGAGTATCAGTGGTTAAATGGATGCAGACATTGGAACAAGAACAAAATAAAGTACAATATAATTTAATCTAAGGTCTAAATGTCAAAATTTCTGAAGCAGGAAAAGCATCATTCTGTTTGTAACATACACTGATCCGACATAACATCAGACTGCTGGCAGTTGAGGTGGACGAGACTGATTATCTCTTCTTCACAGCTTTTGTTAGCGGGTGGGATAAATTGCATTATACAAACAACAACAAAAATAAGGAGAAAAACTACACGTTTGAAAAACAGCTAAACTAACTGAAATGATTTTGTGAACTTCGTAATCGAAACTTCTTAGTTTGTTAAAACTCTTATTACAGCTGCGTGATGAGGCACTGATGGATGCCTACGAGTGAGTGCTTTTAAAAACCATCTGTTTATTTTCTAAACTAGGTTGTAATCTTTGCATTTATTATACTTTCTGCAGCGGCGTCTCATATGTGTTAGGAGTATCTTTGTTACGTTGTTTCCTGTTTATTCCGGCAAGTCGTGCATCTCGTAGCTTGTGTTTAATTTGACTTGCCTTGTCTCCTTTGTGTCAGCTGTTCCTCATTACCCCAGCTGGGCCTCCGTGTGAGTATTTAAGTCCTGCTTTTCTTTGTTCAGGTGTCCGTTAAGAGAACAATGAGAGAAGAATTGTGATCCAGCTTTTGCTTTATTTCTCTGCCTAACAGAGGTTGTTTTTTGTTGTTTACTTTGTTTCCTAACTCGGGATTTGGGTCCGTCTGCCACATGTGAGATGTACTCGGGGATTAGAACCTCATGACGTGATTGCTTTTGTCCTTATGAGCTCATTTTATCATCTGTTTGTACATAAGTATGGTTTCCAGTGTTTTATGGCCTCTGGAGTCGTAGCAGACAGCCCTCACCTCCTGCGTTGGAGTGATTATATTCAACCTAAATTCAACAAAATGATTTGTTAATTTGTTGTGTGCATTTGAATCAGTCACTAGATGGCGCCAAACAGCCATTAAACTGTTTTTCTTGCTATATCATAAGTGCATTAAATCAAGTCCTGACTAAAAAGCGCCTGGTCAAGTCTGAGCTGTGTGATTCAGTCATTAGATCTGACCCTGTGTGATCCACTGAGTTATCACATATCAGAGCTGTGGAGCAGTGACTTCTGGTAGTGCTGCTGTTATTAACTGTAAAACAGTTAGCACTGTGTGTTAGCGAGATTAACTAAACAAAACTGCTTCATTTTCAGTAGGTTTTGAAATATGTCAGTGAAACTATTGTTTTCTTAAATATCTAGACATTGCAGTGCAGAAAAGATGAAAAAAAGATGACAATACAGACATTTATTGAAACTGTTTAAAATCTTGAATCACCAGGAGGCCACATCATGTCCTGTGTAACTGCGTTGGTTGGTTTGTAAAAATAAATGACGTAAATCAGTGATGAGATCAAATGTTTTTAAAGCGACTAAACAAAAGATGATTTTAGGGGCGAAAACTGGACTTGATCTGTCCAAGGTCCTGAAATAAAGAACTGAAGTAAGTATGACATTTCATGACTGAGACGTGTGGGATCCACATCATTTCCTCAAAATGTCGTTTGTTAGGGCATTAATGACACATAACACTTGTAAAAACCCCACAGATATTTACTTGACCTTGTGTGAACATTTTCTTTCTTTGATGGTCTGATTCATGTGGAAACAGAAACGTCACACAGACACAATGAAGAGAGGCCGACATATCTTTTCCAACACAAGCTACTTGTAACATAAGGTATTAGGTTAAATGAATAGTCAAAGCAGCCTTCCCTGTGACACACGAGGACTGCACACAACAGATATATTAACACAATTATTTTCTTCTTGCAGCTGCAAGAAACCACAAACTAGGCGGGATGGGGTTTACACAACATTCAGAGGAAAGATGTCACTACAAATTACTACAAAAACATTCCAGACACTCTGGGAAGTTTTTTCATTTTTCTTAAAGTTGATTTATGTTCTATGTCAGTGTAAAAAGCACCAGTGCTCCTGCTGCTCTGTTTGCAGTCAAAACAATGCTTACGTTTTTTTCTTCTTTATGTCGTTAGGTTGCAATTTTTTCGTTCCGTTGGCTATGTCAGCCGAGATGTACTCAGGTCACAAGTATTTGAACAATGGTTTTCTGCACTCTGTGTTTGGCGCAGGTTTCGGGATCATAGGAAAACTGCAGATGCACATTTTTAGGGTAGCTATGGGAGAGTTGGTGGGAAGGATACTGAACCTCGAGTTGCCCCTGAGATGCATCCATCAGCATTTGAGTGTGTGAATGTAAAAGAAAGAAATAAGGTGTGTGTATGACTTAGCCTTATTTGGAGATTATGTATTGGAATTTCAGGAGCGGGACCGCGCCTCCAAACAGACTCCTTCCAGCTGTCTTCTATATAGGTTCCCCCAGTTCTGCAAGCTGTACATTTACGTGCCCCACCCTCCCTCCCTACTTGTTCTCCATTGTTCGACTTCTTCACTCCTATTTAGTACACGGGGATCTGCCAGGCCCGGGAGCCGTCGCAGTCCCCTTCGAGGCCTTCCCCAAACCGCAGCTCAATTCATGTCAAAGCATCACCTTTACCTACTAAAACGCTGTCAAACCTAAAATGAGGACGTGGGCCCAGCGAGTGAAAGTAAGAAAGGCCCAAACTGAGTAGAAAAGCTATCCAAAGCACCAGAGTCTGTCACCATTTACATGTGCAAATGGTGAGAAAGAGACTTCCTGGGAACAGCCTGAAAATAGCAGCTGCAGATAACCAGGTGAAGCGGAAGCTTGCATTCAAATTAGGAGCTGGTTTCACAATAGGTGAGAACATTATTATTTATTACCTCGTAAAAGAACAGTGGACTTCTGTGCATTTTCAGTTCATCCCTTAACTGCATTTATTTATTGTTTATTTTTTTTTCATTTGGTTTTTGGTCATTGTTGCTGAAAACCAGCAGAGAACTGTTTCTTGAACTTTTGTAGTGGTGGCCCAGTATAAAAGACCAGTATAGCTACCATG